CTCTTGAGTCCCTAGTTTGAATGGGAGGATTCAAAATCTTGCAAGAGGACTGAGAGGAAGGCGCTGGGTTAGTGTCCTGCCACCTTGCTCTTTGCCGGCTGCTGGGGAAGAAGTCCCTCAGCTGCACCTTGCTCTTTAAAACTCCTTTATGTGTATTATGTTGCCAGGTAAACCACTTGCACATTGAAAGGGAACGGTTCATTTACCCGATGAGACCCAGAAGTAAATGTATGCGTTATATCTTCACATAGACAAGTTTTTCTTCTTTCCTGATGGCACGAACGTGATGACCAGTATGGATTTTGAATCATCATGATGCAACATCAGTACTTCTCTTAGAACTAGAGCTTCGACTCACTCCCGCCTTTATTCTTGTCCATTCTGCACGGAGTCTAACCGATGATGGTCAGTGATTCCAAATTACAGCAATTCACACCGTCTCTCCATTCTTAGAGTTACTGTCCTCCTCCTTCCCTCCTTCTCATCCCTCAGTCTGTCCCTCCTTCCTTCTCACTTCTCCTCCTTCCCCGTCTCTGTCCCTCCCTCCCCAAGCCCCTTCCTCTCTTCATTTCCCTCTCTTCCTTTCCAGGAGCTTCTCTTAGCTCTTCAAACGCATTCCGTTTTCCTTCTTTCATGGCCCATGATGAACGATGAGAAAGAGGATCTTTCCTTTCGGATAGGAGGAGAACCACGTCATCTCTGGCATCAATTAACGTCTCTTCTCTTCCCCCCCCATAGAAGTAGAAATACATTTTACAAAACTATGTTTAGTTTAATTTACACACCCTTTCATGAACAGACCAAGTTCTTTAAGGGCATTTATTCTGCTTCATATAAATAATTGATCAGCCGAGTTAATTTACTTCTGCCTGACTTGGTCAACCTTAATTAACTGCCCTGGAATCGAGACTGAACTTTTTGTTAGCTTAAAATCTTCCACAAGCATATGATAACAAGGGCTCTGTTTTCCCTAAATTTTCAGCATCAACACTGTAACCAAGGAAATAATCATAATAATAAAGCATTGCTTTAATTTACTAGAAATACATTGGCCTGGACCTTATGAATTTTCCAGAATACTTCCAGAGTATGCCCTGTTGGCAACGACAATAAATAAGCATGCTAAACTCTGTTCTTGCCCCTTTCTGCATGTTCCTTCAGCACAAAAATCAGTCTTTTGAAATCAGCAGCTCTGTCATGTTTCCAGGCAAGACACGAAGTGGCCATTCTGGCTGTTCAAGCTTTCTGACATCCATATGGTTGCAGCATCAGCCTGCTTAGGGTTGTGGTGAATGGATCCTATGTGACTTAAACAGACCCAGCTCATTCAGAGGAAGCCAGAGGAGGATTTGTCTTTGCGTCTGGAGGGGCTTGTTGGTGGCTACGGGGTGGTCGTGTCTTCTGGGTACATGACTTCACGTCCATGCACTTGGGATGATTGTGGATCATTTCTTGTTCTCGATTCGCTGTGGGGCAAAGCAGTTCGTTGGGCACAGGGAGTCCCAGAGGGAAGTGGAGGTTATACAGACTGAGGGTCTGTGACAGGTTCCCTCTAAGAAAAGAGGGTTCGGCATTAGAGAACACACACGCCTCTCCTATACGTTGACCTGCTTTCAGATGTGATGCTCAAATTGTAAAACTCAATAGAAGAAGACAAATAACGTTGTTTGCTAAAGAATGCTGACACTTTCATCTTGGTATTTTAATGCTTTTCTGTGTCCACCTGCCAGCTTCCTACTGTCTTTGTGGGGATTAGTTTTCTTTTCATCGATTTACTAATTCACGGCCCTGCACGGGAGTTTGCAAACGGGGAATTCTCTGGCACTTATCGAATGGACAAATTCATGTCTGGAATGGGAAATTATTATGGCTGCATCTTTTCCTTGACCCGCTGAGCTTTAGTTTTCTTATCTGTAAAATGGGGAGAAACTTCACCTGCCTTTTCCTCCCTGATGGACTCGTTACGAGTTTGAAAAGTACCTCAGAGAGCCTTGTAGTTTGTGAAGTGCTGTACAGACATAAAGCCTTATTAAATGGCTTGGAACATTCCATAGAAAGAAGTATTGCCAGCCCAGATATTGTTAGAAATGTTCTTAGACATCGACACTCCTAATTTTTCACATGTGCTTTTCAAAAAGCTGTTTTCTCCTGATTGGTGTGGGAGATTATGGGAAATTTTAAATCTTGCAACCTACATACTACTGTTAGCACTTGACTAATTAAGGACATCCTCAGACCAAAATAATCCTTTATGCAATTTCGGTCCCAATGCCTGCACTCTCACAGACCCGATTTGCAAGCCAAGTTGCTTGGCACGATGCCTGCAAAACTTCTCCTGGAGGACTTGGCAGTCTTCTTAGAACTGCGTAGAGCAAAACCTTCTCATCAAATTGTGGATTGGAGATTGTTCTTAATCCACCCACCACCACGGTGTCAAACCAAGGAAACAGAAGCAGGGCCAGTCTCTTAGACACCTGTTCTGAGGTCAGGCGTCCCGATGGCCACAGGCTTTGAAAGCAGTCTTCTTCCTGTATCTCTGCTCCCCGGGGACCTGACATCTGGCTAAATATGCCCCATTTTCTGAGGGCAGGTAGAGATTTTATAGTAAGCAGTGTTTTTGTCTTTTGTCTTTGACTCCCTATTCCCTGATATGAAATGTACAGGCCTTGCAGAAAGTTAAAAAAAAAAAAAAAGTTTCTGTTTTTTCTTTAGGTATGCTTGTGACATACCCTAAGAATTCAGTGAATTTCCTTGTTAACTACTGTTAAGACCACCATTTTCTCCCTTAAATGCCTAACCACTGTCTTTTCCTTTGTTTCTATACAAATGGGCATGTTTGTGAAACAGAAACTGAAACATTGGAGGGGGTACAAAAAAAAAAAATCCTCGCTGTGACAAATTAATTCCTTTTTTGGTAACGAACAAGGTGCTCGCACGCCTCGTTCTTATATCGTAGAGAAACTTTTATTTGTATTTTTGATAGATTTTATACTCTACGGACACTAAGGATACGAATGCACTCTTTAAAGGACTCTCATTACTGGAAAGTCTGATCTAAGGAGAAGAGAGTGAATCAGCTGTTGCTTCTGACTTTGTTTCCCACCTGTTAACAAAAAAAAAAATGCCATTCTTAATCCTCCTCAGGACTGAATTAACTTTAAAAAATAAGTCCTCTGGGTTTATGAAGTTTGTACTCAAGTTGGATCATACCACGCACTGAAAGGAAATGAAGAAAGATATCAGTTTTTCTGCCTTTAATTTTTCATTAGATTTTCATGGAAGTCTATAGAAAAGGGATTTAACCCAACCTCTGGCAAGAGGGCAGCCTCCTGTAAAGATGTCCCAGGTATTTTAATTTCCCTGTTGTCACCTATTTCATGTGGAGGGGAGGAGTCTGTAACGCTGGTTAATAATACTGTCTCTCCATGATGCAAAAATATTTGCGTTGGAAGTTTTCAGCCCTTTTATCCGAGGTTGGTATTTCACATTACAGTTTTAATATTCAGACATTTCTCAGCTCTGATGTTTGAACTGTCAAGCCCTTCAGTGGCTGTTCTTTTTCCTGTTCAAAGTCCTAGTCTCTGAATTTGGAGTACGACCCTGCCATTTCCATTGTTTGCTCCCCACTGCACCTCAGCTTTAGGAAAAGACATGGTTAAGAACTTTGACACCAGACTGAACTTGTTTAAATCTTGATTGCACCATAGCTAGCTGAGATTTATGCTGGGCAAATGAAAACAGTTCTCAGGGAGCCCTAGTTTTCTCATGTGCAAACTAGAGATACCAGTTGCATTCAGAAGGAAATTGGTGAATATACATAAATCAGCTGCAGGAGGGCTTGGTCCAACACTGGTGATCAATAGATGGTAATAATTGGTACTAGTAAATATTATTCTGTATCTTTTGTCATCATCAGACGCCTTTGCTGAGAGCTGAATTGGCTGCCTAGGAGAATGGTTTTGTACCTAGAGAGTAACTGGGCAGAATGTGGACTGTATTTGCATGCAGTTGATATCCTCTGGGTACTTACACCTTGTACTATATATATATATATATATATATATATATATATTTATATTTATATATATATATATATATGTATATATATATATATATATGTATGTATATATATATGGTTTTTATTAGACATTTTGTACTTTCAAATTCAGACTTTTCTTTTCCTGGCCTGCCTAGGCCAGATTTTCTCCAAAGTAAATATAAGAAGGCCCAGACCTTTCAGGCCTTAAAACCAAACTCTAGAGCTTAGTAATCCAGCATGAGAAACACCTAACTTTGAATGGGATTTCTTAGGACAATTTTAACCATAGGACAATGATCAGAGTCTGAATTTATTTGGCTTCTGAAAAGTGGGGATTTTTTTCTCCCTCAACGTGGACTATCTTACTGGAATGGCCCATTTTGAAGACTTTTCAGTACCTGAATGATTCCGAGGAGTACGAATCTTTAAATGTTCCTCCGCTTTTGACCCCTAAGGGTTTTCAGCTCGAATTACCTCGGGGGGGGGGGGGCCCTCCCGGGGGTGTGTGTCAAGTCTTGATAGACTGAAGTTGGAGAAGATTCCTCCAGGAGTGTGGCATCCCCCCACAGAGCCCGCACGTAGTAAAATTTAACGTTACACCTAATATGCTGCGTAGAACGACTTTCTGGTTTTTGAGCAAAAACATCGAGATACAGTCACAGAAATTTAACCATAAATCCTGAATTCACCCAGAATTCTCCCCCCCCCCAAGGGGAAAAAGCCAATTTAAAGGACCGTCTACAACTAAAACTTGAAGTTGGCCTGACACCTCCGTCCCCCCCAAACCAGGGGACTCAGCCGCTGGCAGGGCCACACCGAGTGAAAGAAAATGACAACTGTTTACGGCGTTTGGCAGCGTGGAAGGCAGGCAGGGCCCTTCCCCTGGTGCACAACAACTGTTTTAACAGCTGCTTTTTTCTTTCTCCCCCGCCCCCCCCCCTCCCGAAAATCCCTCTCTCAGGTTTTTGAGTCATGATGCAAGAATCTGGGACTGAGACAAAAAGTAACGGTTCAGCCATCCAGAACGGGTCAAGCGGCGGCAACCACCTGCTCCCGTGCGCCGGGCTTCGCGAGGGGCGGTCCAACGGGGAGACGCCGGCCGCGGACGCGGGGGCGGCTGACCTCGCGCACGTGCAGCAGCAGCAGCAGCAACAGCAGCAGCAGCAGGTACTGTGCCCGCGCCGCGCGCCCCCGGCGCCGCGCGCCCCCTCGCCCGCTCCCCTTCCGCGCTCGCCCGCTCGCACGGCTTCGGGCCCGGCCTGGCCGGCCGCCTGGCCGTCAGCGGCACCTAGGAGCCCGCCCGTGGGCCCGAGAGGCCGCTTCTCAAGCCCTCGGGAGTCCAGTGTTAACCGTTGTTAACAGTGAGATGGAGTGGGCCCCCCCCCCCCCCCCCCACCCCCACCCCCGGGCACCCCTCCCAGCCCGAACTGTGTGCACGTGAAAGGTGCCCTCCTTGCAATACAGTGGATCTTTTGGAGAGATGGATTCCCCGTGCTTGAATTAAAAAGTAATAATAATAAACAGGCGTATGAAGCCTTGTGAAGAAGGGCACAGAATAAGGGATCTAAGATTGAGTAGGTGAATAAGGAGAATAGAGACAGACGCAGGCAGGCATGGGTAGATAACAGGGGAAACACAGACCTAAGTGGAAGAGATGGCTTCCTGCTACCTGTAGCATTTAGGGGTGCGGGCCGCTGACGCATGTGGCTTGTGTACATGTGACAGTTGGTATGTGGCTAGATCCTGTTAATGTTTTCAATGACCTCTTATTGGTGGCTCCCCAAAATACATATAAATTGGGACATACTCATTCTTGTTACATCCTTTGAAGGCATGTCAGCGGTTATGATTCAATATTTCCAAATGGTAAAGGTGACCCAGGACATGGTGTTGTGTGGCCAAAGTGTGGAGGGAAATTCAAATCAGTAAATCGCATCCACTCGAGGACAGGGTTGTTTCTCCAGCGTCTCTTGGAATCAGGAAGTATGATTTATTTTTGTTAATAATGGATTGTTTTTGTTCCATCCTAGTCCTTGATTCGTTTATTCAGTACGTAGTTACGGTGCCTTTGCAAAAAAGCTGAAAAAAGAATGATCTGTCTTTGGGCCTTTCGGAAAGAAACAGAAATCGTTGGGGGATGAGGAGGAGGAAGGCGAACCTTTTCTCATACTATTTTCTTGGAATCTGTATCAGACAAGTAGAAGGGAATCCCCTTTTGTATTAGATTATATAGCCTTTGACAGACTCTCAGTGTGTTTTGTTTTCTTCTTGCTAAGAATTTTTCAAAATACATAGAATCGTTACATAGACGTTAGTGGCATCGATGTGAGACCATGGGACCTGCTGGGGGCAAGATAGACAATAGAGAAAAGAAAAGGGAACTGACAGACAAGCTGAGGTCTTAATTCAGAGGGCTTCGTCTGAGTGACTTGGCCTCTCCCACTGGCAGTCCACACCGTCTGTGCATGCACCTTGGGCATCCCATCAGCTGGGATTCATGATATATGTTGTCTGTAACGTTTATGCACTTAAATGAATGCAAATGGCTGGATTCTAACCACTGAGGTTCGCAAAAACTATGCTTAAATGGTAGAAAGGTTTCATGTGCGTGTATCATTCACGTGGTGTTCACAGATATTTTTGGTTATATTGAGAAGGAACAGTTGGTATTTTGGAGTGCCATTTTCTATGACCTTGCCCTACAGAGTCCAAGATCGCCTGGTTCATTATGGAGCAGCTGAGGTGGGGCTCTTGACCTATGTGGTGTGAACCCCACATACTTAGTATTTAAGGTACATGGGAAATTCACTTCTTCAGAGTTTTATATGAAGAACTGAAAATCATTTACTGTCTTAAAGTAGTAAGTCAGCCAAAATCTCTACATCTATAGCATCAACACACACACTTACACACACACACACACACACACACACACACACACACACACACACCCCTACACCAATAACAGCAATAACACATTGGCCTCATAGACAGTTTTGAAAGTGCATTTTAACAGCATCTTCCTTAAAAAGCATCAGTAAAAATAATTCACATCTCTCCTCCTTATCTTGTCTGTGACCACTTTGAAAAATAGGCTGTTCTGTGTTATGGATGTCAAAACCTTTGACTGTACTTTGGGACTCTATGTAAATACTTTTTGTAACAATTTTACTTTTATTTGCTATTGATATGATTTAGGAAGAAACAAAGTAGTTGGGTTTATCATTGTGGCTAAAACCCCACATATTGTGGTTCACAGGCCTTTTCAGTCTTGTAAAATAAAATACCGACAGCTGTGCGACCCCTCTGAGTGTACAATGAGGTTCTTAACGGGTTGTCGGAGGACAAGAAAGTCTGTAGATGAAATGAGAAAAACACTACAGGGCTGAAAAAGTTTCGCGGGACTACCACCGTGTCTTTCCAGCCTAAAAACTGTAACAGTGAAGCCCTTTTGAGAAATGTGAGGGTCCGCGTGATGGACTCGGGTTGTTTTCGTCATTCTTATTCTACAGGTTTTTACTTGAAGTGCGAATCCCAGCAGTGAGAAAATCACAGCCATGCTGAATTCATTACTGCGGTAGTCACACAAAACCACGGATAAAATTTCAATAACTGCAGGCCACAGTTGAGTAAACAGTTGCACTGAAATTTAATTCCTGTTGACTTTTCCCCCATTCCTCGCCAGGGGCACATTCTGATTCTGTAGCACAAAGACAACAGGGGTTACAGCTTTGATTAATGTAGGACAGTGGAAGAGAATTAGAACTGTAAGATATGTTAGAAGTCCATGGAACAAAAAGATGTGGCTTAAAAGGGCTTGGTATGAAAATGAGTTAATTATGCTGTGTGTAACACTGAATGTTCTAGGATTTTCCAGTTGCACCAGTGCGGTCGTTGATGATGTAGGGAGAATTTTTACCTAGTGCCAGGACTTTACATAAATGCAAGCCTTTCCATGTTTGATTCTTATTACCAAAGATAATTACAAATGATAGCAAGTGCCCTTTCAGAATGGAGAGCTTTCACACAGATTAGCTGTGGAAGGAGTGACTTTTAGACTGGGATTGGTGTGTAGGTTGGCTAAATTAGGTCCAAACAGGAGAGTTAAAAAAAAAAAAAAAAGTTCATAGCTGACAACCTCAAAAGGTGGTGGGAATCTGGCTTTTCCACCTTCTCTTGAAAAATCAGAAGATCTGGTCACCATAGACCAGTATTCCTACAAGGGCAACAGTTGTTCAGGGATGAATTGGTCCTCAAGTCAGGGAGCCTGCAGCCCTCCAGTCCGCCCCAGCTCCCATCTAGCAACAACGCTCCTTTGTGGCCCTTTAGGCCTTGGAGTTGGTGGTTCTGTGGGATGCCATCATCACTCAGAAGCCATCACCCAGGGAGAGGTGCTGCCGTTAGCTGGCCGAGTCTGCCAACACACTCCCAACCCGACCTCCTTCCTCAGAACTAAATGTATTATCTCTGTACTGTTTCAAGTCGACTTCTATCCAGGCCATGAAACTATTAGAACAATAGTTTTCTAATAATGTAATTTGATAGACTTTCTGAACATTTCTTTTAGCCACCGGGTAATTCTTCACCCGGTACTATAACTGCCTCTTATTTCCTATTATGCCTTCCCCCCCATCCCTGGGTCTGTAAAAGTTCTGTATCGGAGATGCACTACTCCATTAGGAAACTCGGCAACAAATACTATTACCAATTACTAAAGTTTTTTTTTTCTCTCCTAAAGAAAGGATTTTAAAATGTCCAGAGCAATTTCATAAACTGTGTGGATTAATGCGTTTTAAAAGTCTTGAATTTTAGAAAGCAGAATTTTATTTCCATATTGCTGCAAATGAGAGCTTTTTCAGATAAGCATATTACATAGAGCATAATGTTTAGAAGTTTCTCCATATACAGCATATGCTGTCAGGTCAATTAACAGAATGCATACTAGAAAATGTTTATTCAATAAAAATGAATAGCTGTTAAATAAAACAGCTATTTCTTAACAACATTCCATTTAATGATGGGGTTTTTTTTTTGGGTACCACCTGGCAGTTTTATTGTCTGAAAATCAGTATAGAGAGAGCTTTGGTTGCTGTGGTTTTGAGGTGTGGCCATTGTTTTATAGGAGGAGGGCAGTTTAGAAGTAGTCTGTGAGAAAAACGTTAAAAAATAGATAAACCATATATGGGAATTGAATATGGATTCTTCAGAGAGTGTCTGTCAGGGAAGTATTTGTTTCATCCATTGACATTGGTCCTTTGACATTTGGCATGAGGGTTTGGGCCTTTTGGCCCTAAAGATGCATACATGCCATCAACACATGTGTATATGTACATGTTTCCTGTTAATAATGTAAAAGAAAGAGAGAAAACATCGAATGAGCGCTGAGGAGTTAAGAGAGAGGGAAGAAGGATTTGTTGGGTCGTGTTTTGCCAGTGAGTCACTGCACAGGGCCAGAGAAGCTCCGAGAAACAGCGTGAGTTTTAGAGAGCTCAAGAAGGAAATCTGGCTGTGGACATTCACAGGGGATATGGAAAATACAGTGTCAGAGAGGCACGGGAGAATCACAAGTCGATAGCCTGGGGTCCTCAGGATATGAGAAACCAAACTGTAATGACCAGAGTGTGAACACTTGAGCCTAAGCTGTTATAGGACCATTGAAAATTCCTCTCTTGACTTTCAAAATGGCAGAATGAATTTCTCCTTCATTTTGTTCTTGTTACTGAAATGACTAGTGGATACTGAGCAAAAGAGGGCCGTTGTCCTGCCAACATTTTTCAGATTTCAGTGCCTCTGTGAAAAACAGCGCCTGGAAGAAGTATCTGTCCGTGTTGGGATGGGCGGTGAGCTCGCATAAAAGAAAACATTTCTGTGCTTCTCATTCTTCCCCATATTCCTTTGTGGGAACAGTGCTGCCTTTACAGTGGCCATCACTCTCCTTGTTCCTCCCTCTACAGGGGGAGGCCCAAGTGATTAGCTGTGGATTGGTATGAAGGCCAGGTCGCAGTGGCCACTTGGGCCTTACCATTCTTCTCTTTGTAAAACGTTGTTCTATTAACATTGTTAGGAATGCCCCGAAGTGGCCTTTTGCATTGTAGCTGCTAGGGACTGTGTCTGAAAGGAGGGTCTTTTGATGCCGTTGGAAGGGAAAAGATAGTCAGCATTTCTGT